AGTGGCTTAAACTCACACTGGGCGTGTGTGTGTGTGTGTGTGTGTGTGTGTGTGTGCGTGTGTGTGTGTGTGTGTGCCCAAGATCCCAAGAGGAGAATGGAGGAGAAGGGATTGCGGTGTGGCCTTCCCCTCTGGGGGGTGATTTCTCAATTTTTATCTCTCTGTCTTTCTGGTGAGCACACACACCCTATAGCAAAAACTTCTCAAAAAAAAAAAAAGACAGGAGTTCCTTCCTCCTAGAATCCTACTATGGTGCCCTGCCCTGGGCTGTAGTCTCTGGGTGCTAGAGCAAGGAGATGGCACAGTGGTGGTGCAACAAGACTTACATGCAAAAGGCACTAGGTTTGCATTCTGAGACTTCTCTGAATACACCAGGTGCACAGCTGAGATTAGATGTGGGTCACACGTGGGGACTCTGTTAGGGGTACATGTTACTAGATCCAAGTCTCTATCTCTCTCTCATTTGGAAAAAATAAAGAAATGAATTTTTCCAAAACTTATTTATTTATTTAATTCCATTTGTTATTATTATTTTTTAATTTGACCAGAGAGGGACAGAGAGAAAGAAAGGGAACACAAGAGAGCAAGCTGCCAGGTCCGGGACTCAAATCATAGTCAGCCATGTGGGAAACTAGCACCCTTAACCACCACGCCACCTGCCGGCCCAAGAAATAAACTTTTTAAAAATGTCTCAAGATGGCAAAGTGAGGGGCAGCAGGTGGCATGTGAGGGGCAGCAGGTGGTTGGGGGCACTGGTTCCCACATGGCTGACTCCACAGTTTAAGTCCTAGACTTGGTGGTTTGAAAATCACACTAGGCACCCATGTGTGTGTGTCTAAAATCCCAAGAGATAAATGGAGGAAAAGGGACTGCAGCATGGCCATCCCTCCTGAGGGATGACTTCTCACTTTTCTTCTCTCTCTGTCACTCTTGTTACTCTGTCTCTGTCAAGTGAGTACACTCACCCTATAGCAAAAACCTTAAAAAAAAAAAGGATAACAAAGTGGAACTGCTACAGGTGAACTCTAATGACTGGGTAAACCTTTCCACAAACATCCACACTTTTATTAAGTTTGCTGTAGGGTGCATGCACTCACCGAGAGAGACAGAGCAAGAAAGTGAGAAGCACCTTGATTCCCAGGTGGGGGTATGGCCACACCACAATCTCTTCTCCATTCTTTTCTTAAGATTTTGGGTACACACACATAGTTTTCAACTGACTGGTTCTGGGGAATTGTGCAGTGAGCCATGTGGGATCCAGCTTCCTTAACTACCATGCCACAGTCTGGCCCAGTCAACCCTTATATGAATCATAGGATTGCTAATTCTTGCCTTTCACCAGAATTAAAAAATGAAGTAACTGCAAATGGTTAAATAATAGATAGTTCATGGGACCAGCAGTTAGCATAATGGCTATGTCGCTGGACTCCCATGTAGTTGACTACGGTTCGCGTCCTGGACCTGGTGGCTTAAAACTCAAGCCAGGCGTGTGTGCATGCTTGCCCAAGATTCCGAGAGGAGAACGGAAGAGATTGCGGCATGGCCATCCCCCTGGGAGGTGATTTCTCGCTTTCTGTCTCTCTGTCTCTCTCTTTCTGGCGAGCGCATGTGCCCTATAGCAAAAATCTCTCAAAAAAAAAATAATAGATAGTTCAAAAAATATTTGATAATATCATTATGTAATTCTTATTACATAATCCATAAATTTAAAATAAAAAAATCTAGGAGCCAACAGGTGGCATGGTGGTTAAAGCACTGGACTCTCACTTGGTTGACTGTGGTTCAAGTCTTGGACCTGGCAGCTTGAAACTCACACCAGATGTGTGTGCATGTGTGCCCAAAATCCCGAGGGGAAAATAGAGGAAAAGGGATTGTGGTGTGGTCATCCCTCTCTTTCATGGAAG